GTTAGTTGTTTCTGGGTGCTGCAGTGCAGAACTTCTAACACTCCTTTCTGCACTTGACTTCTGAGAAAATGATATTTCGTCTCAATGTGCTTGCTTCTTCCATGTAGCACTGGATTCTTGGCAAGATCAGTTGCATACTTATTATCAATCATCAGCTTCAGAGGTTCCTCAACTTCAACCTTCAGATCATGCAAGAGATTCAGAAGCTAGACATCTTGACAAGCAGCTACAGCACCTGCGATATACTTAGCTTCACACGTTGACAGAGTCACGCAGGCTGTTTCTTGGAACTCCAAGAAATAAGACCTCTCAGAAATTTAAACAAGTATCTAGAAGTACTTCTCCTGTCCACTCTATCTCCACACCAGTCAGAATCAAAATAACTTACTAATTATGGTTATGTTTTCTTTCAGAAGGAAACAACACTCCATATTTCAGAGTTTCCTTGATATATCTCAGAATTCTGACAGCAACTTGGAAATGAGACCACTTTGGATTACTCGTGAATCTTCTAACCAATCCAACTGCATAACAAATGTCAGGTCTAGTATTGTATAAATACCTTAGAGAACCAACCAACTGTTTGAAGGTTGTAGTATCAACAGAATCACCATCAGAGTCAGAATCTAATTTTTGATTGGTTTCTGATGGTGTCACAACAACTTTACAATTATGTAGCTTAAATCTCTTCAGAAGTTCAAGTTCGTACTTCAACTGATGCAGAATGATACCCTTCTTTGAGTACAGAATCTCCATCCCTAGGAAATATATATTTCCTAGATCTGTCATCTCGAACTCATTCATCAGAATTTCTTTGAACTTCTTTATATCTTCTGGGCAGCTTCCTGTTAGAAAATGTCATCAACATAGAGACACACCAGAATCATATTGTTATCAGAGTGTTGCACATAAACGCCATATTCCATCTCACATTTCTGAAACTTTTGCTTCTTGAAAAATGAATCAATTTTTAGATTCCAAGCTCTGGGTACTTGCTTCAGTCCATACAGAGCTTTATTCAACTTGTATACCATCCCTTCCTGATTCTTTTTCACAAATCCAGGAGGTTGTGACACGTAAACATCTTCCTGTAATGGACCATTCAGAATTGCAGACTTCACATCCAGATGCATTAAAGCCCAATTTCTATTTGCAGCTAAAGCAATCACCAATCTTATTGTTTCATGCCTAGATACAGGCGCAAACACCTCAAAGTAATCTAGCCCAGGTTTCTGAAGAAAACCTCTAGCTACTAGTACAACTTCGTGTTTTCCAATTGAACCATCTAGCTTAAGCTTCAATTTAAAAACTCATCTGACACTGATGGCTTTTTTCTTATCTGAAAGCTTAGTCAATTTCCATGTTTTATTCCTTTCTATTGCCTCGAGTTCTTCTTTCATGGCATTCAGCCATTCTTTCTCCTTGAGAGCTTCTTCAATGCCCACTCATTCAGAATCTACTAACATGGCACACTGAATGATTTCTCCTTTAGAATCAACTTCATTATCCTGCAACATGTCGAAATCTGCAAACCTTCTTGTTTTTTGTCTGATTCTCTGTAGTCTTTGAGCTTGTTCTGAAGCTGCACCAGAACTACTACCTTCAGAGTTACCACCTTCAGAGTTTTTCTTTTCAAAATTATGATCACCACCAAATTCTGGATCATCATCAGCATCTGGATCAGAATCAGATCCACTGTCAGAATCTCCTTCTAACTCATCTTCAGAATCTTCAGAACTTTCTAAAACATATTCATAAACTAACTCTGGTGTTGGCACTACACCAGAATCTGATTGAGACTTGTTCCAATCCCATGCTTCAGACTCTTTCACCACAATGTCTCTGCTGACTTCAACTTTATTAGTTTCTGGATAATAAATCTTATACGCACTTGTACTGTGATACCCCACCAGCAACATTACTTTGCTTCTATCATCCAGTTTTTGTCTTCTGGCTTCTGGAACGTGTTTGTAACAGACAGATCCAAACACCTTCAGATGACTGACACTCTGCTTATCTCCAGTCTATTTTTCTAAAGGAACAACTTACTTCAGCTTCTTTGTTGGACACCTGTTCAGAATATATGCTTATGTGGCAACAACTTCTCCCCATAACACGTGAGGTAGCTTTTTTTTCTTTCAGCATGCTTCTGGTCATATCAAGCAAAGTTCTGTTTCTTCTTTCAACAAGGCCGTTGTGTTGAGGAGTATATGGGGCAGTAACCTTATGTTCTATTCCATTCTCCTCACAGAATTTATGGAACTCTATAGAGCTATACTCACCTCCACCATCTGTTCTCAAAATCTTCAACTTCTGACCACTCTGCTTTTCAGCCTTCACTTTGAACTTCTGGAACTCAGTAAACACTTCATGCTTGAACTTGATGAGTGTTACCCATGTCATTCTTGTGAACTCATCCACAAAAGACACAAAATATTTATTTCCTCCAAGTGAAGGTACTGGAAATGGTCCACACACAATAGAATGTACTACTCCCAGAGCATGCTTCGCTCTGGGGGCTACTTCTGATGCAAATGGCAATCTGGGTTGCTTGCCTTTCATGCATGTCTCACATGACTTCTCAGACTTCACAATCTTCGAAATACCATGTACAAGCTTCTTAGAACATAGATGCCCTAAGCTTCTATAGTTCAAATTCCCCAACCTCTTATGCCACAACTTACAGTCACCTTCAGCGCCTTCTTCACTAAGACAAGTTGCTTCAGCTGTTTCTATATTTACCTTGAATGTTCTGTTGCTTTCTTGTTCAGACTTCATAATCAACTTCTGATTAAAATAATACAACGTCAAGAGATTGTTTTTCATAACAACTGAGAAACCTTTCTCAATCAGCTGACCCACGCTCATCAGATTGCTTCTAATACCAGGAACATACCAAACTTCTTTGATCAGAATGTCTTTCCCATTCTTCACTCTAACTCTGACATCTCCTATACCTTCTGCATTAAGATACTTATTGTCATCACATCTGATCTTTGTTCTCCTTCTGGAGTCAAAGTCTTTCAGTCATTGTTTGTTTCTAGTTAAGTGATTTGAACAGCCAGTGTCCATATACCATCAATCTTCTGAGTATTTTCCATCAGAATCAGAAGCCATTAGTAGCACATGTTCATCATCAGAGTTTCCCTTGGCCATATACGCTTCTTCTAATTTCCTTTCCTTGTTTGACCTACAATTTCTGACAAAATGGCCAAATTGTTTACAAGAGTAACATTGAACCTTCCTTTTGACATGCCTCTCCTTTCCTTTATGATATCTCTTATCATTAGAAGTTGAGGTTTCCGACTTCTGGAATCTATCACCACATTTATTCTACTTCTTGTCTTTCTTGACAAAAGAAACCTTCAGAGCTTGCTCAGCTTCCCTCTCAGAAGTTCTCCCAGTCAGACGCAACTCCTGTACTTCTAAGTTGCTTTGTAATTCTTCTATTCTCATGGTTTCCAGATTTTTAGAATGTTCAATAGAAACAACAATGTAATCAAACTGAGGAGTAAGCGACCTCAGAATTTTCTATATGATTACCTGTTCAGACAGAGTTTCTCCACACGCCTTCATCTCGTTAGTGATCAGGATCACTCTGGAGATATATTCAGAAACTTTCTCACAGTTCTTCATGTTCAAGTTCTCATATTTCTTTCGCGGGGATTGAAGCTTCACCTTCTTTACTGATGCGTCACCACTGTAACATCTCACTAGTAAATCCCACGCCCCTTTTGACGTTGTTAAATCAACAATCTTCTCGAACACACTTTCATCCACACACTGATGGATATAGAACAGAGCTTTCTGGTCCCTCTTCCTCATAACCTTCTCAGCAGTTTTCTATTCTACAGTTGCATCTGCTGCAGTTGGTACATAATCATCTGTAACCAAATCCAGAACATCTTGCGCATCAAACAACACGTGCATTTGTATCATCTACCTGTTCCAGTTTTTGCCATTAAAAATTGGGAGTTTGGTGTTCAAACTACTGCATCCACTCATCTTAAACCTTGCACAGCTTTTTCAGATCTTCAAACACACTGTTTCCCAACCCACAGAATCAGATTTGTTCAAGATTTCAAAAGAAAAATCAATGAACCAAAATCAAACACACGACTCACAGTCACTCGTATTTCCCAAAAAAGACAGAACCAAGTGCTCTGATACCAATTTGTTGGTGCAAGGTAATGAAGCGGGAGAAGAAGAATGAACAAAGAATTATAACAAAAGACTACTGTTTGTATATCAAAATAAAAGAGATAAAGTATGGTACAATATTGATAGCATATGATAGCATATTTATACTAAATATTGAAAATACCAAAAGACTTTATTAAAGAATAAGCATTGAGAATTATAATAATTAACTAAATTATTTTTACAATAGAGAGACCATTTAAAAAGATAAAATGCAATTAATATAATAATTAAAAGTGATCTAAATTTACTTAAATGAGATGACGAGTGTCTCATGAGTTTTGAATTCGAATTCAACTCTAAATACGAAAATACTTGATTTTTTTATTAAAACAAACCGGGTAGTTTATCCAATATGTTTGAGATTTTGGATAACGTCTCAAAATGATCATGCGATGTGTCTACAAGTTTTTTCCCTCTCTCTAGAGACCACGTCAGAGGTTTTAGAAACCGAGGTGAAATCGCTCCTTGTTTCTCAAGTCTGTGGGCTGCTTCCACTTGAACCTGAAACCTTAAAATATTCATATCAACATATCTTTGTCTTTATCGCATATTCAACCTTATCAACATGCCTCAGCAGCCGAATACGACACTTTCATGATAAAAAACCGTTAATAGATAAGAGCAAAGTTAAGAAACTTATAGGAGCTTTGTCACTACACAACCACTAATATACATGTATATATATATTGCCTTTGTTACACCGCTATCTTCATATTAAGAAACAGGTCTACGATATAGAAAGACATTGGAAGAGTGTGATTTGGTTATTATCATAAAAAGAAAACAATTCATCAACAATGGGTTCTCTTATGGCAGGATGGGACTCTAACTCCTCATCTTCATCACTTGAAAGAAATCGGTCACTCACCAAAGAAGAAATTGATGCTTTCTGGAAATCAAAAAAGGACACAGAGGAAGAACACCTCAAAGCTATTTCCAATTTATCAAAGACTATTCAGGTTTTTTTACTTTCAAATTCACATTTCTTCTAATGTTTTGCAATCACATTTGACTACTTACTTGTTCGCGTTCGAACTTCGATATTCTATGTCGGTGATACTGATATTTAATTGGGCAGCCTGGGAAATACGAGGAAACTGTGCCCTTCGCCCTACGCATGAAGGAGACATTAGGCAGGGATGTTAACATTAATTTGGAGCAGCTTATCACTAAAAATGGCTGGTAATTTTCATAGCTAATTGTCATGATCATCATGAATATCTTTAAGTTTGAGTATATAAATTTTGTATTTAATTTGGATATGGTTGAATTGGATGAGTGCAGGTGGACGAAGAGTAACTGGGCATTTTTGAATGAACCGCCAGTCATGGAAACTGCTTCAAACAAGTATGCATCACAGTTTCACGTAGCCAACTCGGGAACATCAAAACAAAATCCTGGACATGGAATTAGTGCTTGATTTGAATAGTCTCTCTCATTTCACACTTTACGTACAAGTAACATATCCAAGAATGTAAAAAAAAATCACTTTTACAACATGTATGTAATTGTTGGTAATATATATACTGTGATTATGATACTTTTTTAAAGACACTATCGTCTAAGGGTTAAACAATACTTAGTCCTCTCAAGTATATATATTAACATCTTGATCATTTAAAGAAAACAGAATTTACAAGTATTATAAAAAAAAGGTGTTCATAACATAGTCACACCGTTCACCATTTTCGTATCGTGGTACAAATTCGGGTAGGCGGTTTACAAACTCTCAAAGAATTAGGTATGTGAGGAGTATATATAATAAGTATGTTATTTGAATTTGTAGTACTTCAATTATAATATTCGGTACATTATTATTAAAGAAATTGTTTATTTATAATGAAAAATGATTGGGAGAAAAATTTTGTAGTCCTATATCGACTACATTATTAATATTGCTTTGAAAAATCAGTTATAAATATCTAATGTATATTTACAGTTTTAATATCAGTTCACCACAATTTTAATATTAAACGGATCTCATTATAAATAAGAAATTAGTTAAAATTTTGTTTTTATAATTTTAAGTTTATTTGATAAATATTATGTCAAAATTTATATTTAGTATATGAGTATTTCATTTTACATGAATTTCAGAAGAATTTGTACTAATCAATTCACAAAAGTATCGTAAATTGGTATGCGCAAACTAATTTACGGTTTGCAAGGGGTATCGGTGAATTATGTGATTATGGTTTACAATAGTGCTTCTTGATAAGTAAATATGAAATTAAAATAAGTATATTTTTTACACAAATATGAGCAACAATTCTTCTTGTTTGTGAATTCTCTTAGTAGTATTTTTGTAATATTTTCATACTTGTAGTTCTTCGTATTTAGCAATGAAGTAGTGACTCCTTTATATAGGCTCAAGGAATATCGTTGGTGGGTAGAGACGTCATTTTTAGTGTCAGTTGTCATAACGGTAATCTAAAGATCATGAAGATCATGGGAGACAGAAGTAGTAAAGTCTCAAAATTATTTATTAACAAACATGGGCGCGTAATCAGTCTTTACCAAATTGGGATTGTATTTATTGTTTGAATTCTTATAACACAAGTTGTCTTGATCTAATCTTCTGATGAAATACTTCTGATGTGAAGTGATGATGAGTCCAGAAGATGTCGTGTTAGATGAGTGTGTCAAGAATTATCAGAGTCTTCAGAGTCAGAGATCGTCTTCACTCAAGTCTTCCTTAGAATAATTCTAACAGATCTAGAAGCTTGATTATCAGCAGATAATAGACAAATTTTCAGAACCCAGAACTTTGACTTTAGAGCTAGAAACAAAAATTATCTGAGAAGCACACGAAATTCCTTTTCTAGAGACTTTCAATATTTATCAGAATTGTTAATGTTTCTTCATAAGCAAATGACACAGTACTTTTTAGGCGTGTCACAAATGATTCTGATGATTTTTTCAGAATCAAATGAAGTTTTATATCTAGACACTAAAAAAAATATTATAATACAAAATTATTATATATAAAATATATGCATTTTTATCATCAAAATTAAGGATTGTATTGAAGAACCAAAACTAGTTCTAACAACATGAATATATGGGAAGTAAATACTTTTGGACAATTTACAATATCCTGTGTTTTTACTTTATTGCATAACCAAATTAGGCAGGACCATTGGAGTAGAATTTGGAAGATGGACGTTCCTGAGAGAACTTACAATTTGATTGGGATGATTCACCACAATGAAATTATTGACAAACATTGCTTCTTTGACTATGATTTAGCAAAGTGGTTGGAGCATAACATGAAGATGTAGTTTGGAGATAAAGAGATGCAGTGGCAACCGATTTGGGCAACTAGCTGTCATCAATTATGGAAATGGAGGAATCAGAGAACTTATGATCCAGACTATGTCAATCCAAGTAACAAAGTGGAAAGCATCAAGGGTGCAGTAAAGAACTATCATCTTAACATGATGCTGCAGAAAAAAATTCATCATAAGCCCTTAGTTCCCAGCACTACTGAATGGAAAAATCCAGATAGAAATTGGGTTTGTATTAATACTCATGGTGTTGTTAACAAAAATAAATTAGCTGGTTCTGGAGGCATAGCCAGGAAAATTCAATGGGAGGTTAACAAGTATGCGAATACTCTACAGTATAGTCTTAATCTTTAAAGAGACAAAGTTGAGTTTCTTGTTTGTCCAAGTTTTCTAACCAATGTAATCCTTAGCAACATTAGAGGCAGTGGTTAAGTTGTTTTGTTTCTTTTTGGGCCTTTGGCCCTCTTAAAGCCCAATATGTTAGAGGTTTAGGATAAAGTGTCAAAATGACCATGTGGTGTGTGTACAAGTTTCTTTTCCTTTCTAAAGACCACGTAGAGGTTTTAGAAACCGAAGTAAATTTGCTCTTTGTTTCTCAACTCCGTGGGCCGCTTCCACTTGAATATAAAACCTTAAAATATTCATGTGAAGAGTGTTAGAAGTAATTCATATTCAGGAGTTGTTAGAATCAGAAATAGTTGAGCTTCTGAGTTTCTTAGCGTATCTGTTAAATTTAGTATTTCCTAGTTTGTACCTTTTAACTTAGCCATTAAGTTTACTTTTGTTTGAGCCTACGTGACAATTTACTTTGTGTATAAATAGACTAGTGGTAGTTATCATTTGTAACCTTCCAATCATTCCTTTGTAAGCTTTCTAGCCGTCATTACAGTAAATATATTCTCTCTTATATTTCCTTTATTTATTAACCTTGTTGAAATTCTGGCAGCAGATACTCAATGTCACAGTGAATGTTATGACACCGTATCTGACTTTCTATAAGACAGTAGATAAAAACAGTAAAGAACACAGTCAATTGTTTACCCATTTCAGTGTGAAACAACACCTACTCTGGGGGCTACCAAGCCAGGGAGGAAATCCACTATAAGAGATATTAATTCAGGAATAAATCAACCAGTTTATCTCCTTCACTTAAGACCTACCCAATGCAACTTCAATCTAAGTTCAACTTAAACCTGAGTTCCTACTCACTCCCCCTCAATCACAGCAGTGATACTTAAAACAATTGACTAATGAATTAATGAAGATACTCTTCAGAACATACACTTGATTATGCTTCACAGCTTTTTAATCAAGTAACACAAACACTCGTGCTTCACAGCTTTGAGTGATACATAAATCTAACTTGACTTTGCTTCAAAGCTTTAGTCAAGAGACACAAACACTCTTGTTTCAAAGCTTTGAGTGATACAAAAACCCTTACAATCAAAACCTATTCCAAGTCACTTATCACAATGATATTTGCTTGGATTACAGCAGTTAAAACTATACAGCTCCTAATTGATCTTCAGTCAAAAGAGTTACTCTGCAACCAGCATTCCTGTTGAATATATATGCAGTTGATTCTTCAGTTAGGGTTTCCACAAAAAGCTAGGGTTAATTAGGTTTAACCTTAAGACTTGGTCACAAGACTTTATCAACCAGATTAGGGTTGAGCTAGGTTAACCTAAAGTCCACGTGAGATTCTGTTCTGGAAGGAAGGAGCCATCTTCCTGAAAAATCTCAGAATTAACCAAACTACATATCTGTTAGATCAGTACAGGATGTCTTAACATTTGTTATGACATCAGAATTCCTATTTACTGATTTTGGTAGAAGGCAATAAATGTGATCATTTGCAAAATGCTCAGATACACACTCATAAACAGTAGCTACTGTATGCCATACTTTTTCTGCATAAAGAACCTAATAAACCAGAATGTTATGACATCAGTCATGACATTTACACACATGGTTTTACCAAAAATACATGCCAATAACTAAACACTTACAAACTCCCCCTTTGGCAGATTTTTGGCTAAAAACCCCTAAGCATCAGAGAGTAGAGAGCAGCAGAATGAATAAGTCTGCAGAAAAAATATAATGTCTACCAAGTAATTAACACAAAATATCTCCCCCTCTTTAGCCACAAATGGGCCAAAGATACATGTACTTAAATGTTATACAGTTATCCAAAATAGGTAATAAAAACAACAAATAAAATCTGAAAACACTGTCATCTTCAGAAACCAGCATCAGGCTTGTCAACTCCACCAAACTTTAAGCACTGTCATCTTCAGAGGAGCTACTTTCTTCAGCATTGAGCTGATCTTCAGCAGCACCCTCTTCCCTTCTGTTTCCTTCAGACTCCTCCTGTTCTAATCTGGCAATTAGGTTTTCTAGAGTCTTTTTCCTTGTCTCCAGCTCTTTGCAGGTCTCTTTCAATACAGCTATAACATCAGATGTCTTGGACTGAGTTTTTACAGATGATGTCTCAGCTGATGTTATGACAATGTCAGGAACATGAGATCCCTGAAATAGCTTGTAGTGTAACCCAAGAGCAGGAGCTCTTTTGCAAGCAGTATCTCTTTCCACCAGGATATCAGGGTACTGAGCAAGGATAATTCCACATAGGAGGGAGGGAAAGGCAATAAGGCCTTTAACAGCATAGCTACCAGCATGTTTTAAAGTTTGATCAAAAATATACCTGCCATAGTCAAATTCAGTCTTGGTTCCAACAGTATAAATGAATCTCCACAATCCTGTGGAGATGGTTGATTTATGGTTGGTAGGCACCCAGTTGGCTGCACCAATCTTGTGAAGGATGGAAAATTTCATGCTTAGTTTGCTGGCATTCAACTTGCCTTTTAAGGGCCAGCACTTGACTTGTCTTGCTGTGATGGTTTGGCATACTTCAATGTCAGTGACTTCTAGTTCAGGGCAAGCCTCATTTGATCTTCCAAGAAATTTGTTAATTTCAGATGGAGAGAAATTAACCCTTCTTCCTCTCACATAGACACATTCAAAGTCAGTTGACCTTCCATCAGCACATTCATCAGACAAATTCACTTTGAATTCCTTGACCAGATTTTCATAGCATTTGGTAAATTTTACCACAGTCTTCATTAGTCCAGCAGCTTTGATCAGGTCCATGATTTCCTTGCAATCCATGGCACCATTGTTTAGTTCTCTTTCCAAGGCTATTCTCTTCAAGCAAACATACTTCCATCTGTTGGCATTTTCAGGGTGGTGAAATGAAATGTTGTCAGTGGGGACTTCAGGAACTCTAGCCATTTTGCTGGAAGGGAGTTTCCTTCTGAGAGGAATGTCTTCAGCATCAATTTCAAATTCTGATTCCTCATCAAAATCATAAGGCTCGGGTTCTTTTCTCTTCTTTGTTATTGGTTGTCTTGCAGGCTTTGAGAGACTCCCAGTATGCACTTGGGCTTTCACTTTCCCTTTGGACAGTCCAGTCTTCACAGTTTTTACACCAGTCTTGCCTTCAGACCTGGTTTTCTTATCAGCAGGTTTCTCTTTGGTCAGACATTTTGCAGCATCCTGATTACCCTTTCTGTTCATCATTCTCCTAGCTATGCTAGGGTTGATATTTGCAATTAGGTCATTGTCTGAGTATTCCTCATCCACATCAATAACAGGTGGTTCAACATTCTTCTCTGAAGGGTTCTGAATATCATCAAGGTTTTCAGATGATTTCTGAATGTTGTCATTTGGTGTCTCAACATTCTCAGAGACATCTGGATTTGCTTCAACATTTGGGCTTGCTGATTCTTGATTTAATGGAACAGAGATCCCCAGTACAGAGTGATTCTCACTCAGTATTCTTGTAACAAGCCTAGCTATTGCTTGGTGTACATAAGCTGATCCTTCCCTATTTGGTACAGAAGATGAAGGTTTAGAGGGATTACCGGATGAAGTAGCTTGAGACCTTCCTGCATGCCTTATTCTCAGCTTTTTGACCTTGGAGAGGTTAGTTGCCATTTCTCTAAGAGGAGTAATCTCCAGGACTTCAGAATCCATGCATGAGGTGATTGCCCGAGAATCTTGATCAGATGATGAAGATGAAACGGTCGTCTTGGATGAGGATGATGTTTGAGACATTTTGATTGACTTAGAAAACCAGTAGCAACTAGAGAGAAAACTTTGATTGAGAGAAAGGGATTTATTGCAAAGACGAGAGAGGAAGGAGGCAAATGAGTGTCTATTCAACTTCTTAATAACTTTGAAAGAATTGGGAAAACAAATGATTAACCCACTCAAAATAGACTTAACAAAAATAACTCCTTCAACCTTTGTTTTAAGCAAAATTAATTGCTACAATTTCTCATGTTGGCAAATACCCAACTTGCTCCTCAAGTTTTCAAATTGATTTGCATCAAGTGCCTTGGTAAAAATGTCAGCCAGCTGTAGCTCAGTGGCAACATGTTCCAGATTAATTGTTTTCTCCTCTACAAGGTCTCTGATTAAGTGATGTCTACTGTCAATGTGCTTGGTCCTGCTATGCTGAATAGGGTTCTTGGAAATGTTGATTGTACTCATATTGTCACAGTACAATGTCATAACATCTGGTGTGACATTATACTCAGTGAGCATCTGTGTCATCCAGATAATTTGAGAACAACTACTACCTGTGTTTTCAAATTCCTTGTCATGATCACTTCTGATTCTGACAATACACCCTTCTATTTCTCTTTGAATTCTTTTGCACAGTTCTTTAAAAACTTCAAACACGTCAGATTTTTCCTTAATGAAGTTAATCCAGGTGAATCTGGAATAGTCATCCACAACAACATAGGCATATCTCTTTCCACCAAGACTTTCCACCTGCATTGGTCCCATCAGATCCATATGTAGAAGTTCCAGAACCTTAGAGGTGGTCAGATGTCTTGACTTTGGATGTGACATCCTAGTCTGCTTACCAACCTGACATTCACCACAAGCTCTCCCTTCATCAATTTGCAGTCTTGGAATCCCTCTGACTGCCTCCATGGAGATACTCCTTTTCATTCCTCTTAGATGAAGATGGCCAAGTTTTTGGTGCCACAGTTTCACCTCTTTTTCTTCTTTGGCAATAGAACACACAGTGGAGTAATTGGTGTTCTCAGGCTCCCACAAGTAACAGTTGTCTTTAGATCTGACTCCTTTCATTACAACTTCTTGTTTTTCATTAATTACAAGACATTCAGATTTTGAGAAGTTGACCTTGAATCCTAGATCACATAATTGACTGATACTAATGAGATTAGCAGTCAGGCCTTTTACCAATAGTACTTCATTCAGATTTGGAACTCCAGGGCAGTCCAAATTACCAACTCCTTTGATTTCACCTCTAGCACCAT